AAATTATCCCTCATTTATTCCTTTGTTCAAACGTTATATGCAGACTGTGATGTAACTTAATATCATGCCGGTATTTCTTGCATTTTGTATATTCATTCATGACAGTATTAGCGCTGTGTTTGACCCATTTAGTCTTGATTTTGAAATGCCTTTTCAAGTGTTTTTCTGCGGTGTAGGTCAAGGCCGTGTGAGTCAGAGAGCAGAAGACAGCAGACACATACTAAACCATTTATCTCCTCTCAGTCATCTTACAACCTTATCTTTACTGCCGTGTTTTTCTGGGGGATTGCAACTAAAATGTTAAGCAATTAAATTGAATTACCTGCAAACACACATAAAGGGACATGTAGGAAATATGGATTGTTTGTGTATGCTTAATACAAAAATAACGGTATTGGCCAGACATATTATTGTGTACATATTGATTACTTTTTGTTTTAATGTTTAGTTATAATCATTATAAAATTACCATATTGATATTCCCAGTGTATAAATATTGATAACCATTTAAAGGGAGATCCCTCAGTTTAGTATTGGATATAAAGTTTAGTAAAGGATGTAAAGCATTTTAAGTGGCAGATTTTGAAAAAAGAATGATCAAAATTGATGCAGCAGATCCGTAATATCCCGACTTTTATTTCCTAGTATGGGCCAAGCTCCAAAACACATCCTAGATTTCCCAAAATGCAACTTGCTAATGTCTTTCATTAGTCCCCATCTGCTTGGTAAATGTCTAATCTGTAATCTCCAATCCTAAATTCTGAATCCAAATTGAAACAAACAATACAGTAATGTGTGAAAACTGACCTAAACTTACTTTATGTTCAGGACATTATATAAAATAAATAGTTTCACACTCTCCAATATACAACAACGTGATATACGAATAAGGGATGTGATTTATTGGGCAGATTTCATTTATCATTAACAGGATTATAACCTACTGCAGTTTTACACATGAATAAAGCCACTGTAATATAAAATGCTACGGAGGTTTGCTGGCTAAGAGATGAGAGCAGAGGGAAGAGGTTAAGGCTTAACGAGGAAATATTTTGCCAATATCTGACCCAGGCCTCAGACACACACACACACGCACACACACAGCAACATAAATGTGGGCTTGTGTTACATGACTGTTTGAGCGGCGCTCTTATTGATACAGATGTATTGGTCATTAAGTCAGTTAGGTTTGACGTCTCAGCTCGGCTGCAGCCAAAGAAAATAACATCAGCGCTCTCTCACAGAAATGTTCCACTCTATATGGGCAGAAAGAACTACATTGTGGTGTTTTCAGATTACAGTCTGATATGCGTGTAC